ATTTTTCTATTCGACGTTTTCGAGTTCTCTACGTAATGCCGTGCGAAGATATACGTTAATGCCCTTTTGACTTTAATGGTAATTCTTTCGTTGGAAATGACAGATGACAGTTCACGCTGAATGCCGTTTGTCCCGTTTGATTTGGACCACGTCATACACGCTTAGGTCCTTTTGGCATTGTCATTGCGCATGTGAAGTTGCGAATGGCAACTATCCAACGTCTCACGTAGAATAACGTTGATTATATACATCACCTTGTAAATGATTATTAAATGTCCTCGTGGCCGAGCGGTCTAAGACGCCGACTAGTAATCGGCAAACCTCCCTGGGTCGGTGGATCGATCCCCCCCGCGTAGTCAGATTTTTTTTTATTTAATTAATAAAATTAATAATGGTGTATGTTGAGTTGCTGTGATATTGTATAATGATATATAGTAAGTTGCGGATTAATAAATTAATTAATAAGTTTTTTAAATCCTACAATACGGGCCAGGCTAGGCGAGGCTCGTCAGTAGTCTTCAGCCTCATCTCTACAGGTGACATTTTTCACATCTGTATACACCTGCGCATGATTTTTCTGTTCGACGTTAATCGTTCTCTTCATAATGCCGTTTTCCCAGTTTAAATCGGACCAACGATAGCTGAGATATACGCTAAGGCCCTTCTGGCTTTTCGTTCTACGCATGCTTTTTTTTTTGTTCGACGTTTTCGAGTTCTCTACGTAATGCCGTGCGAAGATATACGTTAATGCCCTTTTGACTTTAATGGTAATTCTTTCGTTGGAAATGACAGCTAGATGACAGTTCACGCTGAATGCCGTTTGTCCCGTTTGATTTGGACCACGTCATACACGCTTAGGTCCTTTTGGCATTGCCATTGCGCATGTGAAGTTTGCGAATGGCAACTATCCAACGTCTCACGTAGAATAACGTTGATTATATACATCATCTTGTAAATGATTATTAAATGTCCTCGTGGCCGAGCGGTCTAAGACGCCGACTGGTAATCGGCAAACCTCTCTGGGTCGGTGGATCGATCCCCCGCGTAGTCATTTTTTTATTTAATTAATAAAATTAATAATGGTGTATGTTGAGTTGCTGTGATATTGTATAATGATGTATAGTAAGTTGCGGATTAATAAATTAATTAATAAGTGACTCCATCTAGGGGCAGATATAGCAGGCTGGCAACGAGTAAGGTTAGGTTAGCAACAGTTGGCTAGTGACGTCATGACACGTGACGTCAAGGCGAGTGACAAATGGATGACAGCATGACACGACACCTGACATGACAGGTGGCCGGGAAAAGACAATTAAAAAACAAATAAAAATCGATTAGTAGATTACTGTTAGATAAGAACTGAATTAGGGCATGTCAGTTAGGCGGCTTTGTCAAAGGAAAATTTGGTTCCCACGCTCAACCGCCGCGTCTCCTGCTTATTTTCTTTCTTATAGAACAAAAAAATATTTAAATTTTTATGAAATTTATACTCAAGGTTAATTACAAAACAAAACTAAAATATCTTTAAATAATAAACTAACGTAACAAAATTATTCTCTATTAGCAAAATGACGTTAGATAAATGTATCTTTGATGACTTTCCCTCGATCAGTTTCTCTCACATTTTCAGCATCCAATACTAAATTTTCCCAGACATTTGCATTAATTTCCTCCTCAAAATCTATTGGATCATGAATACGACCGATATTGTGTAACACTGCACATGCAGCTATGATTCTTACACTTGTTCTTAACTTTGTTCTTAACTTATTACAAAGACAAGGAAATCTTCTTTTCAATACGCCAAAAGTTATTTCTACTGATACCCTTGTACTAATCAGTACTAATTCAAATTATTTCAATAAAATAATGACGTTACAATTTTTCAGTTTGTCTAATTGGCGAAGATTTGGTTTCTCGCGTTGCCATACCAAAACGAATCGTTTTTTGTTGATTGTGATAGAAGACATTGCAGAACAGTTAGCAGGTAAATTAAAAAGATTAGATATTTAAAGATTTATTAATATTAATTTGATTTCAGCTCATAAACAATATTATTCCAAATAATTAGGAGGAAACTAATAATAATAGTATATTAAAAAACATTTCTTTGGTGAATATATTTTTTAACTTAATGTATGTTGAAATAAAATTTATCAAATTATTTAAAATTAAATATAAATACTTTCTTTTACTTGTAAATTATAGAAAAAGAACATCGCCCGCCAGTGAACCGTTCATCCTTTCATATTAGAAAAATCAATTAATAGGTGAGTACATTTTTAAACTTTATATTGATTAACTTTTGCTTAACATTTATAATCTATTAATTTTTGTATAACTTCATAACTTTGATTCTATAAACTTTTACATAGAGAGGTATTTATCGTTCATTCGTTTTCTTTTTCTATAACGTTATTAAAAAATAAAATGTGGTTTTTTAAATTTTGAAGAAAAAAAAAACTTCGAAAAAAATTATTGAATGTGTCACTTATATATTAAAATGGTAAATATTCGATATAAGAAAAAATGTATTCTTTCAAAAAGTCGCCAGACGATCTAAGCAATTGAAATCCACGAGAAAATTTCCAAAAATCTTTATTTTTACAAAGTGTTTGGCAAAATGTTGACTTTTATATTTACCTTCTATTCATTTTTGTAAAACTTCATAACTTTGATTCTATAAACTTTTACATAGGGAGGTATTTATCGTTTATTCGTTTTCTTTTTCTATAACGTTATTAAAAAATAAAATGTGGTTTTTTAAACTTTGAAAAAAAATTTTCTTCGGATATGAAATTCAAAGTGTCAAAAAAATATAATAAATATATAGAAAAGTAAATAAATATATGTGTTTTATTTTATTTTAACTTTTAAAAAAATAATTTCGTCATTATAGTAATATATTTCGTATTTTTAAAATTCAGCAATGCCGAAGCAAATATCCCTCTCTTACAAACACAATTTGTATAAAAAGAAAAAGTTTTCTCAAACCGCGTCTTCATCGTCGTTGTCACTTAGCGGCGAAAGTGCAAAAAATTACTCATTCGTTTGTAACGAAGTTACTTTTATTTAATTATTTGTAAAAAAAAACATAGAATCCGTCGAAAAAAAAATCGAATTTAGCATTTTTTTTTTAAATATACCGAAGTTACTTTAATCAAATTACTTGAAAAACATAGAATCCATCGAACTTAACATCGTTTTTAAATTTCAATTACTTGCCGTTGGATCCTTATATTAAGAACGTCGCAATTCGATTTTCAAGCGAATTCTGTGTTTGGAAACACCTTTAGTCAACTATAAATGTTGTGAGTGAGCGGCCGACCACGGTAGCTATGACAACACCTCTACACGCGTTGCGACCTTTAAAAGCAGCAAGCAAAGCGAGAAGGAGTCAGTTCTCGTCGATAGTCAGTCCGGTAAACAACTAGAAAAGCTCTCCGAATCCCGTTGCCCCGACCGTGCTCAGGTAAGAAATTTGCTTTATCGGCTGTGTTTATTGTGTTTGCCTAGTTTTGATTTTTTTTAGTATTCCGTTTCATGTTGTATCAAAATTTCGGGGTTTTCTTTTCCGAAATTTTTGAAATTACTAAAATATAAGTTATATGCATTCCTATTTTTCCTGTAAAACAGGTTTAAAATTAATTGGTGCCAGAACAAGAAAAATTTCGTATTACTTTTAAGTAGAGTCAGTAATTTTGGATATTGTGTTAGGGTAGTTTCCGATTATTATTAGTATTATTTGGGTTAATTTCCGATTATAATTAGTATCATTTGAAGTAGCTTTCGCTTTATTTTTCAAAAAGAATTTTAGAATAATATCTGAATCTAGAGACGGCCTGCGTTGAGTGGTTCACAAGGGCTTATCTAGCACTTTGGATATTGCTTTGGGGTAGTTTCCGCTTGTTGAAGTAGCTTTCGCTTTATTAAGAAAAATAATTTTCGAATAATATCTGAATCTAGAGACGGCCTGCGTTGAGTGGTTCACAAGGGCTTATCTAGCATTTTGGATATTGCTTTGGGGTAGTTTCCGCTTGTTGAAGTAGCTTTCGCTTTATTTAGAAAAAGAATTTTAGAATAATATCTGAATCTAGAGACGGCCTGCGTTGAGTGGTTCACAAGGGCTTATCTAGCATTTTGGATATTGCTTTGGGGTAGTTTCCACTTGTTGAAGTAGCTTTCGCTTTATTTAGAAAAAGAATTTTAGAATAATATCTGAATCTAGAGACTGCCTGCGTTGAGTGGTTCACAAGGGCTTATCTAGCACTTTGGATATTGCTTTGGGGTAGTTTCCGCTTGTTGGGGGTAGTTTTCGCTTTATTTTTTTTTGACTAGCCGTTTGGATATTGTAATTGGGGTAGTTTCTGAATATTTTTATTTTTATTATTAAAGAAAGTTTTGATATTATTAAGGGAAATTGTCATTGCTTCTTTTATATTTTCCTAAAGAAATAATAATAGAGATCGACCGTCGTTACGAGCAGTTGGATAAAGGAGTAGGCAGATTGAGACCTTTAACCCAACCGTTTAAGACAATTGTTTTTAGTGTCAGGGATGGTATTTCATACCGGAACTGCCTAACTACATTGTAGTTTCGCGATCGTGTTTTTCAAATCGAGAGTTTAATACAAGTGCGGATGTTTTTACTAAAATAGAGTGACGCGATTTTACCATCGAGTGAATAGTGAAACAGTGCTAATAAATCAAATCGGAGAAGGACACTATGTGCCTCTAGTTAAAACAAAGTGAAAAGGATATCTACACCACTGCATGGAGACAGACCCACCGAGGATAGACCATCAAGGATAGGTAAGAAATTTTTAATTTCTGAGTGCGATTTTCATATTTTGCTGCCGAATGACCATATTCACATGTTTACATTGTTTATATTTATATTAACTATATTACTGACATTTTAAAAATCTTTTTTAAAACAAACATTAAAAAAACGATTAATAATAAAAAAAAACTAGCGATTGAATTAAAAAAAAATTAAAAATGCCGGCCAACGGCTCGGACTATAAAAAAGATAAGACTGACTCCGTATCGAGCGTCTTAGCGCATAAAATTGACAAGGACAAAGCGGATAAAGCTAAAAAAAAAATTAAAGATATTCAGGACCAACTCACGCTTAGTGAGGAGGCCAGGGTTAGTAGCGAGGAAGCCAGGGTTAGAGCGGAAGCGGAAACCGCAAAATTAAGATTGGAAGTCCAAGGACTTAAACACCAGTTAGAACAGGTTAATTTCACACTCAATAAAATAGTGGCGCAAGCCGACAAAGCCGATATAAAAAATAACATCCTAATGGAGAAACTTCTTGCACTTAGCAAGAAAGAGACTGACAAGACAGACAAAATAACCAAAGACAATAAAGAAAAGACAGACAACATAAACAAACAAAGTAAAATACCTAAGACCAAACACACAACTTTAACAACAGAACCAACTAAAATAGTAAAGACAGACGAAATAAATTCAACAATAACAACTGACGAAACAAAAGAAGTAACAGTAACTTCTGATTTAAATAACGATCTCACCGCCACCGACGGCGAAAATAACGATAATGACATGGACATTGACAACGAAGACAGGTTAAGCACCTACTCATACGACTCGACAGACGAACAAGGTTTTCGTAAAAGGAAAACACGTAGAGAAAGACGAACCGCCGCAAAACACAGAAAAAACGACGACCACCCGACTACTGTAAATAATAATAATAATAATAGTAACGCGACTAATACCGATAAAAATCAAAACATCAATGCGAGTAAAACGGACGAACCTAAAATTCCGAAAGTGGCATCTATACTGCTAGATGCCAGTTCTAACTGGGTAAAAATTACCCGCGAATTTGAAATTAATAATATATTTTACGAAATGGCAGTTGTAAAAGGCAACGGCACACGGGTATGGCCGAAAACCTCAGACGACTACCGAAAAATGACGTTGCACCTTGAAAAAACAGGTGTAAAATTCTTCTGCCATCAACTGGCAGAGGACAAGTCATATAAAGCGGTACTAAAAGGAATACCAACTAATATGTCGCCAGTAGACATAATGACAGACCTTGTTATACAGGGTCTGCACCCCATCAAGGTGCAACGGATGACCTCAAGAGTGGACAAAAGGGCTCTACCCTTATTCTTGATCGACGTACCCCAGTCCGAAAAGGACGATATACTACAAGTCATCCGGTGTGTAGGACTTGTAGTCAAAGTTGAGGCCCAAAGGGCTCCAAACGGCGCGACTCAGTGCTATCGGTGCCAGGGGTACCATCACGCACAATCCATGTGCCACATGGATGAGCGATGCGTGAGATGTGGTGGAAACCACAGAGCTGCTCTGTGCAAAAGGCCTCTCAACGAGAAAGCCACTTGCGCAAATTGCCGCGGGGAACATCCTGCGAGTTATAGAGGATGTCCGAAAGCACCAAACATGGGTGTTAGTAGGAGGCCCCAGGCACCTAAACCAAGACAATTTAACTCAAAAACCACGACACAAGGTGTCAGTTACGCCCAACAACTAAATCAAAATAACAGCGGTAATAATAATAATAACAATAATAATCAAGCTGACTTTTTCGAACAAATGAAAAAGCAGATGCAAGCGCAAATGACGCAAATGTTTAACAATTTCACCCAACATATGATGCAATCATTCCAAACGACGCCAGCAGGAAATGTATAATACACCTATACAGCCTGCTAGTTTGAGGATTGGGTCCTGGAATCCAGGTGGAATCAGACCCAATATAAATTTCCTAGGTGAACTAATGGAAAGGGAGAACCTAGACATAGTTGCAATACAGGAAACAAAAATTACAGATACATATAACCTGCGCTGGCCTGGTTATAAGGTATACAGGAACGACCATCAAGCAATGTCTGGTGGCACTGCGATACTAATCAAACAGGAAATAGAGCACCACTCTATTCCAACCCCTGCTGCATTACAAACAATGGAAGCTACAACTATTAAAGTTAGAACATTGCACGGAGTTCTAAGAATAGTTTCAGCCTACGTTCGACCTAATGCAGTCCTGCACGGGGGTGACATAGACGCAGTCCTGCCTCAGGGGGAGGCAGGGATAATTATCGGCGATCTAAACGCTAAATCCCCAATTTGGAACAGTAGATTTCGCAACACTAGAGGCAGAGTGTTGGAAACAATCATGGCAAACGACCCTAGATGCTCGGTACTAGGTCCCGACGAACCTACCCACTACCCTGACAACGGTGGGCTACCAGACGTCATCGACATTGCCGTGCTAAGAGAGTGTGATTTCCAACAGGAAATGTACTCTCTGCATGAAGGAACAGGTGGACATAACCCGATCCTACTAACACTAGGAGACGGAAATGGCATCAACGCGCCAAGAACAGTGTCAAAAACAGATTGGACAAAATTCAAACGAATTTTGGCAGGCAATCTAGGACCAATCCCAAGGATTGAGTCCTGCGAGGAAGTAGACGAAACACTCGAGCATCTAGAAACAGTCACGCAACAGGCACTGGCTGACAGCACAAGACAAATAGAGGTAACAAGACCTAGTCAATTTAGAAACATCAGTCAGGAACTGAAAAATCTAATAGTGCTGAAAAGACGCGCTCGAAAGAGAGCACACAGGACAAGGTTGGCTGCAGACAAAAGAGAAGCAAACAGACTTAAAGAACAGGTAAAACTGGAACTTCAACTACACAAAGACGAACAATGGAAAAATTTCCTGGACGAACTTGACCCCCAGAAATCACCCTTTTGGAAACTCCAAAAAGTACTCAGAACAGGCAGACCAACAATGCCATCAATACACGGACAAAATGGACTCGCACACACGGACATAGACAAAACAGAGGCGTTTATAGCAACGCTCGAACTGGAGTGCACCGAAAACCAACATGAAGACGAAGATATGGAATTTACGGAGGAAGTAGAGGAATCTATGGAATCTGAAGATGAAGTATTGGACAATATCACTGTAACATCACCACAGGAGGTCAAGGACATACTCAAGTTGGCTGCAGCCAAAAAAGCGCCAGGGTGTGACGGGATTTCAAACCGTGCACTAAAAAACTTCCCAAACAAAGCCATCGTTTTTTTAACCAATATAATCAACGCAATTTTAAGACTTCACTACTTCCCTAATAACTGGAAAAAAGCGGACGTTATAATGATTAAAAAACCAGGCAAGGATCCAAAATTCCCACAGAATTACAGGCCTATTAGCTTATTACCTGCAATGAGCAAAATAGCAGAAAGAGTAATATTAAAGCGACTCAAAGAAGAAACGGAAATACTAAATGTTATCCCCGATGAACAATTCGGATTTAGAGAAAGACACTCCACGGAATTACAGGTGTTAAGGTTAGTAGAGGGAATCACGCAGGGATTCAATACTAACAGGTCAACTGGAGTGGTCTTTCTAGACGTCAGCAAGGCTTTCGATAGAGTCTGGCACGCAGGATTAATTTACAAACTTAAAGACTACGGGTACACAGGAGCAATGACAAAACTCCTCAAGTCGTACTTAGGCGGAAGGCAGTTCCGTGTCAAGATAGGTTCCGCCCTGTCTAGATACGCAACTCCGGAAGCTGGAGTGCCGCAGGGGGCTGTTCTGTCACCGCTCTTGTATACAATCTTCACAGCAGATATACCACAGACAAACAACACCACGACATCAATGTACGCCGACGACACAGCGATCGCTGCCAGAAGTACCAACACAGGTATGATATGCCGATACCTGCAAGAAGCAGCCACCGAAATCGAAGACTGGAGCATCAAGTGGAAAGTGAAGATAAACCCTGACAAGAGTCAGGCAGTATTATTTAAGAAAAGACATCATACCCCAACAGCGGTAATAGAAATGGACGGACAAAACATACCATGGACAAACACTGCGAGATACCTCGGAGTGCAACTAGACCAAGGATTAACATTCACACAACACACAACAAACATAAGGGCAAGAGCAACCGCGATTAGAAGTAACCTTTACAGCGTCATAGGACGACGCAGTAAATTACTACTGAAGACCAAACTAAGAGTGATAAGATCCATCATCACACCTGTTTTGACATACGCTTCTGTAGCATGGGGACACACGTGCAGAACAAACAGGAAGAAAATACAAGCACAACAGAATATAAGTCTCAGAGTGGCTGCGAACGCACCCTGGTACGTTCGTAACCGCTACCTGTTCAGAGATCTAGAAACCACCCCGGTTTTAGAGATCATGAACAGCAGAGCAGAACACATTTTCAGAGACTTACAAGAACACCCTAATCGCGAGTTGAGAGAACTGACAAGTTACGAAAGAGAAGACTACAGGAGACATGCGCGACCCAGAAAACAACTGGAGTACGCAAACGACGACAACTAAGAGTAATTCTGTGGGAAAGCGCTAGATTTTAATTAAGTAGGCCAAACAAAAAAAACAAAAAATCCATTTCACCACCATCATCATCACCTTCACCCCTCACCAAAAAAAAAAAAATATATATATAATAGTTTTTAAGTTCGGTAATTCGGTGAAAATCGTACTCAGAACCATGTAAGGTGTATTTATGTGAGTTTTAGGTACCATCATATTACAAAGCGACGACTTCCTCCTCCTGCAAGTTTCTCCCCTTTGAAAGTTCCAGCACTGGGATTGAAAAGGGTAGTATCTTTGCGGGAATAAAACGCGAAACAATATACAATTCAACAGACGACAACGACGCACTATGTTGGCTCAACAGGTCACCACCAGAGGGGTCCTGATGAGCACTCATAGCGCAGCGGGCAACAGCACACAAATCGCGAATGTATGAAAGAGAGAGTGAACGCATAAGAGTTTTAGGTCCTCAACCGACTCTTACTAAATGACGATAACGCCTCAACCTTCAACGCTCAATCGAAGGTATGGGGTGCCAATCAATTGCTATTGACATGTGGACCAAGCAGCGGATGAAAAAGCTTGGGGGTGGATGGAAGGGTTTAGTAGGTTTCGATCCAGGTTACCAGGATGGGAACTTATTCGACTCGGGCCAGTAATCAGTGTGTGTGAGAGAAGGAGTCAGTTCTCGTCGATAGTCAGTCCGGTAAACAACTAGAAAAGCTCTCCGAATCCCGTTGCCCCGACCGTGCTCAGGTAAGAAATTTGCTTTATCGGCTGTGTTTATTGTGTTTGCCTAGTTTTGATTTTTTTTAGTATTCCGTTTCATGTTGTATCAAAATTTCGGGGTTTTCTTTTCCGAAATTTTTGAAATTACTAAAATATAAGTTATATGCATTCCTATTTTTCCTGTAAAACAGGTTTAAAATTAATTGGTGCCAGAACAAGAAAAATTTCGTATTACTTTTAAGTAGAGTCAGTAATTTTGGATATTGTGTTAGGGTAGTTTCCGATTATTATTAGTATTATTTGGGTTAATTTCCGATTATAATTAGTATCATTTGAAGTAGCTTTCGCTTTATTTTTCAAAAAGAATTTTAGAATAATATCTGAATCTAGAGACGGCCTGCGTTGAGTGGTTCACAAGGGCTTATCTAGCACTTTGGATATTGCTTTGGGGTAGTTTCCGCTTGTTGAAGTAGCTTTCGCTTTATTAAGAAAAAGAATTTTAGAATAATATCTGAATCTAGAGACGGCCTGCGTTGAGTGGTTCACAAGGGCTTATCTAGCATTTTGGATATTGCTTTGGGGTAGTTTCCGCTTGTTGAAGTAGCTTTCGCTTTATTTAGAAAAAGAATTTTAGAATAATATCTGAATCTAGAGACGGCCTGCGTTGAGTGGTTCACAAGGGCTTATCTAGCATTTTGGATATTGCTTTGGGGTAGTTTCCACTTGTTGAAGTAGCTTTCGCTTTATTTAGAAAAAGAATTTTAGAATAATATCTGAATCTAGAGACTGCCTGCGTTGAGTGGTTCACAAGGGCTTATCTAGCACTTTGGATATTGCTTTGGGGGTAGTTTCCGCTTGTTGGGGGTAGTTTTCACTTTATTTTTTTTTGACTAGCCGTTTGGATATTGTAATTGGGGTAGTTTCTGAATATTTTTATTTTTATTATTAAAGAAAGTTTTGATATTATTAAGGGAAATTGTCATTGCTTCTTTTATATTTTCCTAAAGAAATAATACCGACAAGAATATTTAATTTTTTTTTAATTTAACACAAACATATTGTTTGGGAATAATAACGTTTCCAATACCTGGTACTAATTAATTTTTGAAAACCATTAAACCATTATTCCGTTTGCATTTAGAATTTACTATAATAAATAAAAGACAGCCACGGGCCGAATTTGTAAACCTAATTTGTTCCTTTGATATATTTCTGTAAATAATTAATAATCGTCTGATTGAGCTCCGTCCTGTCACAGCTACCGTTCCGCAACCGCTATTTGTTCTCTCTTATTTTTTTTTTTTTTTTGTTCAGGGTGGGGCTTTGACATATTTTAAGACAATTGTTATTAGCTTTCGTAAGAAATACATGTGTTAATTTTGAATTCTGGCTTATAATTTTGTGTCGACCTTTCCCCTTCATTTTTTTCAGCTTCAGAATACTTTTACGTAACAATAACGATTAAAGCCCGTTATTGTTACCTTCTTTTATTGATAGTCTGATATTAACAAGACCCCTGGA